AAACAAACATTTACTAGCCAACAGTCAGAAAGTATAAAATACATTTAAAACCACTGCAGGCCTACGCAGCATTTGCTAAGACATGGAATAGAGACTAGTTGGCTAGTTTTGATATGGCCCGAGTTTTCATATGGCCGTGAGGAAAAAAGTGGGCTGTATTAATACTGCCCGGCCCGTATTAATGTTGACCGCCAGGCGGCCCGCATTAATGCTGACCGGGGGCCGTATTAATACGGGCCAGGTCTCCGGTCAGTATTAATGCGGGCCGGGCAGCATTAATACGGACCGGGTTTTCAAACGGGCCGTAACATATATACAAATACATTTTTAATTTTACCTGCGGAACATAATATTTCTGGTCACGAATAAAGTCACTACAGTAAGAAAGTTACAATTATTTCCGTCCTGTCGTTGTTCGTCCTATGCATATTTGCAATTTCGAAATATACTACCTGACCGCTATCACTTCTCATTTCGACAGAACTAGCCACCAACCACGCCATGCTCGATGGCATGCCGACGTTTTCCAATATGCTTACCTCCCACTCTTCTCACCCGTTGACGTCATTTGTATCGCACGCTCCTACGCTCGTCTCTGGTGCGTCGTGATAAGCGACTGATCGTCTGTCGGCTGAATTTCCAGAGATGGCTGGCAGAGCGGCCCACAGCAAAGTACGCTCACCCACCCTCGTCCCACAGATAATTGAGTACGACTGAAGTCGCCAACGCAGGCGGTCATGGCAAAGAGCGACGAGCTCGATGACCCGTGGGGTGAGCAAACATTATTGACTATTTTTGTGGGTGTTTTGTTGTTCTTAAATCATGCAGAGACCATTTAGTCACACCGTTCACGTTCTTCTCCTTCTCATTCCCTTTCTCGAAAAAGGAGGAGCTCCTCCTCTTCCTCATTTTCCTCGTATTCTAGCCTACTTATAATATTATCTTTTGAAGCACCATTATCATCTCGCATCGATATAACAGAAAGCATAGTATCTACGTTACGTGTGGCTAGAGACTGATGTTGTGCCCCCAATGCAACATCTCGCAACATGTGCAATACAACATGCTAGAAACCCAAGGGACAGTTTGAGAATACGGGACGAATTAAAAGACAAATTTTAGACTGATTCTCCGTGCCAATAACAGTCGTGCCCTGATGCCACACCTGTTCGCTGTTCGTGTTCCTAATAAAAAACTAGTTCCACCCAAGTTCCACCTTACGGCAGACGTATGTGAAATATGAATCGTTTATTATCGGTACGTTGTCGAACATGCATCAGGAAATATATGAACAATTTTCTTCACCGGGGTGTTACGTTAGATTTTGAAAAAGTTCCAATATGTTGTGCACCGAGGTGTCGGCTATCACGTGGTATGGGTCAGATATGGGGCGATTGAAAAGCACGTGCCACGTGCAAACGTGTTTGATGGGGTAACCTCCGGGAAAATCCGACATTGGCCTACTCGGGGTTCTATGGCACGGAAACGACTTCATCTAGCAACACCAAATCAGCGCAGCCGGTGAGCAGATGAGTCCAGCTGGTCGCACCAGTGGTCACGTGGCGCACGTGCTATAGCACGTGCCGTGGCACGGGGTTAATTTTTTTCCTTAAATATACTAGCATTGTGAAATGCAAGGAATGGGGGAAATAGCCTTCAGGCCGTCAGTTTTTTTATGATAGGGTCGATCTGAAAACGGGTTTAGGCACAGAATGAAGGGGGCTAAAAAACTGCTATCTTGGATTTTTTGTAAAATGAAAAATTTAAAATTCTGGGGAAATTATATATTCGAAAGGTGAAATTTCCCTAAATTTTCCCGTTTTTCGAGTTTAGCCGTCCACTGTTCAGAGACGGTGACACCGGCCGGGATCATCTTTTACATGCTGATGGCTACGTCGATGGGTCATGACGTGGCGTGAACGGTGAAGCTATCAGAGGTCCGGCACGTGCCACGTGGCCACGTGTTTGAGTCGCGTACCTCCCAGATTATCGTGTGTTTGCCGATTTGTGGCCTTATAGCACGAAAACAGCACAAGCCAGGAACACTGAAATGGTGCAATCAGTGAGGGGACAAGTCCTGCTTAAACCGCCGGCGGTCACGTGGCACACGTGCAAGTTTGGGCACCTCCGTTGCGGAGATATTTTATAGTGAAATATTCAAATGTACAATGTACATAACTTTGTCAGTTTAAGTCCGATTGGACCAGAATTTGGTGGGTTGATGAATTGTTAAGCGACATGAACGAATGCGGCACGTTTGTTGCAGTGCGCCACGTTTGTCTCAAAGCGCCATTTTTGCCACAAATTGCAGAATGTGCGTAACTTTGTCGAACATTGGAGTTTGGACGATTAGGATGCGCTGTAATTAAGGGATGGCTGCTTAAACGGCAGATATGAATGCACCACATTTGCCGCAGGGCGCCATATTTGTCTTAATGCGTCAGTGTTTGCGTTTTGCCTACGGCGGGCGTTTTTGCGGCGGTGTTTGCGTTTTTTTCGGTGTTTGCGTTTGGCGGCGGGCGGCTATTTTTGCGTTTTTTGCGGTGTTTGCGTTTGGCGGCAGGCGGCCGTTTTTTTTGCGGCGTTTTGCGGTTGGCGGCGGGCGGGCGTGCGTTGCAGGCGTTTTTGCGGCGGTGTTTGCGTTTTTTGCGGTTTTTGAGTTTGGCGGCGGGCGGGCGGGCGATGCGGGTGTTTTTGCGTTTGGCGGCGGGCGGCCGTTTTAGCGGCGGTTTGCGGCGGGCGGCCGTTTTTTTGCGGCGTTTTGTGGTTTTCGGCGGGTGGCCGTTTTTTGCGGCGTTTTGCGGTTTGCGGCGGCCGGCCGTTTTTTGCGGCGTTTTGCGGTTGCCGGCGGCCGGCCGTTTTTTGCGGCGTTGCGCGGTTGGCGGCGGGCGATGCGGTTTTTTTTTGCGGCGGCTGTGTTTGCGTTTTGCGGCGGACGGGCGTTTTTTGCGGCGTTTTTTTCTGCGGTTTTCGGCGGGCGGGCGATTGTTTTTTTTGCGAAGTTTGCGTTTGCGTTTTGCGGTGTTTGCGTTTGGCGGCGGGCGGGCGGTTTTTCACAATTAAGGTCCCAACCTTCGGATCCGCAGTGCTGTTCGACAAGCGCTGCCCGGGCCTATATGAACAATTTTCTTCACCGGGGTGTTACTCTAAGTTCGTAATAGGCTTCCCAGTTCCCGGCTCCGTGCACTATAAAACGGCGTTGACTCCCACAAAGACATAGGTAAAATGCGTCATGGAACATTTTTCTTACGTCTACATAGAAATTAAAACGTATTTTCTCCACAAAGTTCGTTAGTTCCTCACGGCTTTCGGTGCGTATTTGCACATCTTCGTAAGCAATCATATCGTAAAATCTATTCGGTAAGTACCTAATTGCTCAAAGATTTGGAGATCTCAGCGGAGAGCAAATCGTCAACGATTTTTTTTTTCTTAAGGGGTACCTGAGGGCAGGCTAGGGCAGGCTAGTTACGTGACCTCACCATGAAAACTATTGGTTTAACCCTCGCCGGCGGAGGAGGGGGGGGGGGGCGGAGAGGGGGTCGAGTGCCACCCTCAGTACAACATGCTACTCGACCGCCACCCTTGTAGCCTATAGTATAACTACTGGGCCGATCGGGACAAACGAAGTACCATTCGAATCAGGCGATACAATTTTATCAGCCGTTTCGAAAATGGCAACTTCAGGTGACATCAGTGACCTCGAAAGGTCAAATTGACGTTTATGCCTATTGCAATCTGATTGCAATCATTCCATAACTCAGCAACTACTGAATTGATCGAGACGAAAACACCACCAGTCGATTGTGCCGTATGCGATTTCGCCAGCGGTTTCGAATATGGTGACCTCCACTTTCACAGGAAGATTAACCTTACAGGACGTAGTATCCTGTAAGGTTACTATGGAATGGAATGTGTCCTCAGCTTTGACCTCAGGTCAGCGGTTTAGCCTCCAGTGGACAGCTATAAATATCCGTTTTTACGAAAATTCATTTTACTGTAACAACTTTTGACTCAACAGAGTTACGACATTATTTTTGCCAGCATCGTGCTCCTCTCGTCGAGACGCGTCGAATGAACTATAATTTGTCCTTGAAAGGTCATTTTGGAAATTTTACCTCAGATCAAGGTCATAACGGATAACCTGAACGGATAAGGTCGTGGTGCATGTATGTAAATCGATCCGTATCGTCAGGCTAAATACATCTGAGGTGCCTTCCACTGCTCTAGAATATCTCAATTGAAAGTTATTGTCATAAAACTGCTGGGGACTTCATTGACCTGAGATGACCTCAGGGTCATAAAGAGGGGTCACGGGTGCATTTTTCCGACTAAGTGTGTCATTTTTAGTTATAAACCGACGCGATGTTTGAGAGTGTTTAGAACGACCTTCGTCCAAAAGAGGCGCATTTCAATTTTCTCCTAATGACACATAATGGGAAGGTCGCAAAATTGACCTGAACATAGGTCACAGATATCAAAATTCCCAGCTATAAATTTCATGCATACCTAATACCTACTGTTACTCTTTATCAATCGCCAAAACTTTCAAAGCGCTTGTTCAGTCGGTGTAGCTATAGCGAGCATTGGAACTTAACCTTTTCTGAGGTAAAGTCACTTGACGTGACCTGGTGACCTGACCTTGAGCGACCTCGTCCTTGACCTTGACCTTGTCTGAAATTTTCACAACATGTGCGGAAAAGATGCATGTCAGGTCGAGGGAGGGGGCTTTTTCACGCCCCCCTCTCCCCCCTACCCAGCACGGCGCGGGTTAAAGCGTAACATATCTTGATTATATAAATTAATCCGAGCCGTATTAGGGCATACCGGGCATACCGCATATCCATAGAATAGAATCCCATGTTATTTTGTCTCGTGCGATTTGCTGGCCGGTCATCATTTCTGGAATTTCCTTCATGAAATGCACATCTCTCGACATATGGCAGCATTTTACAAAGGCAATTGTGGCGCGAAGTATTACTTATTTTTGGGAGATTTGCGCACACAACACAGAGAAAAAACAGACTGCGGGGAGAGTGCAAGAATTTGCTGAAAAACATTTTCGGAGATCTTATGGGACTTAATATTCAATGTGCCGTGCTATATACGTAATTTGAGTGAAGTATTGGGTGCTGTCTCTTTGTGGAGGTGCTGTTCATCCAAGAATCACCCAAACTGGTTGTCGCATCAAGCTGACGAGTTGTTGTTACTTCAACTTTGGTGTCAATTCGTTCTTTTATTTTGCATTGTTATCACTGTAATTACCAAGATTACTCCGTCTCAAATATGCTTTAAGCATATGGTTTGCTGATTTTCTATAAATAGTGGTAATTTATGCCATTTCTGGTGGCAAAAACTGACAGAGGAATGTCTCGGCATGAAGGTAAGGACAATTTATTTCATGCGAGAGTGTGGTGCTTTGTTGCGCAGTGTGATCTCTGATTATTATCAGCATTATTTTGAAGATAGCATACCTTTCCATCACTATCAAATGCCTATTCATTTGATTAAACTGTTAGTTATGATACATCACTTCCTTTGTGCACTGAAAATGTTTGTCTTCTGTAATTTATCATTTAATACCTACTTTGCTATTGATGCAGATAGTGCAAATGAATCTTAGCAATGCTTTTGTGGATTGTGGTCTTCTGTATTTAAATTGTGGGTATTTTACCGACTTTGTAGAGAAAATGTAAAGCAAGAATAGTAATATTCTATCAAATAACTAAAGAATGATATGACTTGTTAAGTTAACCTGTTTTTTAATCCAAATTCCTTCCATTTACCTACCAGAAGCTGTAAAATTAGATCATGTCAGTTATTTGCACAAATACATGCATAGCTGAAAATGGTTGACCTGCTCACCAACTACCGTAACTCTGCCACTGCAGCTACTATTGTTCATCCGAGTGATATAAGAACTGAAAAAGGTGGCAGATGAAGTTAGCCCCAACTCCCAAGCCACCCTCCAGTCCCTAGCTCAGAGGACATTGTCACTCCATTTTGAGTTACCAGAGCAGCAGGTTACACATTATAACTTGGTATTAAAAATTTCCTTTTGAGATTGTAATAAATTCTCTTGTTTTTTTTTTTTTTATTCAAGCAGTGTGCTTTATATAGAAGGCATTTGAATGCCTACCATCTCACTGTGTCTCATGGTGGAAGCTGAGTGGCACTACCAGGCTTTCATAACTAAGAGGTGTTATTAGACTGAAAAATTTTCAGCTGAATGGAGCTAATGTTGAAAGCTGGGTCCGCAAAGATTTTAAGTGTTTATTCCTTACTCAATTTTTGAAATGTATAAGAGGTATACTTTTTATAAGTGGTACAGAACAGGAAACAGTAGAAATCATTAGTCAAATGCTATCACATTTTACAAGATGTGTACTTACTAATGTTCTTTATTCTAAGCAACTAGCTTGTGTGATTGTAGTATTTGTAAACTTTTAATGCTTACCTCAACATTTTTATTTTGTTTTGAAAATTGATAGCTAAATAAGAACAATTTTATCACTGAGAAGTAGGTCATGCAGGTGTGACAACCTATCTGTACTTAGCTTTGAAGTAAATAACACCGGGCTTAGATAACTATTGTTTCTGTGAATGGTCATGAAGAGCTGCTCTTCTGTGAAATATGATGCCTGGTTGACATTTGAAGTCACTTTTTCAAAGATGTGATGAATCCAAACCAACAAAAATCAGTGTGTCAATATGAACATTTATGTATCATTACAAGTTATATTCACTACATTTTTAACTTATTAGGATTTGAGGTGGAACAAGTCTTGGAAACATCTCATATCTTTCTCTAGCCACATGTCTTATTCTATATTGTCTCAGCAGGCACAGGATAACAAGGGTATATCATTGAATCCATGAACTGTTTCACTCATGTTTGTGTTTGTTTGTGGTTCACTTCTAACACAAAGTTTACAGTTCAGGTGGTGTGTAATTACCTATGTTTCAACAAGCTTCTTATATAAATAGCCTTAATCGATGGGGCTAAGTTTTAAACGAAGCTTGAAATACCAGTTCAGGGCTGATACAACCTGAATTGGGGCATTAAACCCTGTCAACCTCACATTACTGACAACAGAGGTTCTGAAGGTTAGGGGCAGGGCGGGGACCTCTCCCATTGGTGATGCCATCACCGACGGCCGTCGGATGCGGTGTCTGGTGTTCCTTCCTTCTGTCTCTGAAATACTTTCATGTGACAAAATTAATCAGGAAACACCATGTGGTAATGCTGATGTACCTACTGGCTCAATGTGTGGCCTGAGGGGAACAAGAGATGTAGTTTCCAGGCCTTATGTGGCGTGTGTATGTGGGGAATTCATTTGCAGCATTACTGTTGATGTCAAAGTTAATTACTGGGATATATTTTGTGCTTTTATGTACTTGCACAGGTAATATACTTCATGTAACGTGTTCGGCCTGAATGTTGTGGCTGATATTGCTTCAAGGCTTTGCTTATTACATTTTATGTATTTCATGCATTTGGTTTGGATCACATACAGTCAGAATAAGTATCTTTCTTCATTTTGAGGCAAAACGGCAGAAGAAATTAGGTTTTTGGCCAATTAGTCATTATACTGCTCTCATGCTTCACAATACCTGTCAATAAGTGACACCATCACTATCATACCATTTGGACGCACTAACCGCTGGCCGTCCCCGGCAGGTGTCAGCTGCGACGCGTGTCTGCGGAGTAACTTCCGCGGCCGGCGCTACAAGTGTCTGATCTGCTACGACTACGACCTGTGCGCCGGCTGCCACGAGGCCGGCTCCACGACCACGCGCCACACGGCCGACCATCCGATGCAGTGCATCCTCACCCGCACAGATGCTGGTGAGGCGGGGAGAGGGCAGAACGGGCAGAGACGCTGGAGGGTAGAGGAGAGGAGAAAGGGCGCTGCTCGTCTTAGAGAGTCTGTTGGGTCTTACGTTTCACCACTGAATCAGGGACTTGTTGAGGTAAAACCTATAAATGGGTTTATATTTTCATATAGTTTCTCCCTTTTTAGAACGTTTGATGTATTTTTAAGTGTATGCAGTCGTCCTAGCCGATCTTCGTCCAGCTTTACCGAAGACACTTTTTTGTCTCTCCATTTTTGTAGCTCTATTTGCGAGTCTATCGTGTAAATCTATTCATCCATCATGCACACGTTGCACCCGATCATCTAGCTTCTACTGACACCCCCTGCGCGTGTCTGTCCGCTCACAGAGGTGCTGTACGGCGGCGAGGCGCTGCCTCTGGAACAACCGCGCTCGTTTGTGTGTCCACACTGTGGCCGGATGGGTTTCACAGAGACGACACTGGCCGACCACGTCAGCGCTCAGCACTCTGACTCCGTCACACAAGTGGTGAGTGGGGAGCGGGGCTTGGAGGGAACTCGGGAAAGGAAAGTAAAGAGGGAGGGGACGAGTCAGTTGTGGGGAAATTGGTTCGGAGGGGACAGGGAGAAGGGCTGTCTGGAGGGCTGGGACGAGTCAGTCCTCCAGTTGTGGGGAGTTGGGCTCAACAGGGAGTGGGAAAAGGGATGGCTATAGGGCTGGATTGAGTCCGTTGTGAGGAGCGGGGCTCGGGGTACTTGGGAAAGGGAGGGCTATAGGGTTGGGTCGAGTCAGTTGTGGGGAGCTGAGCTCAACGGGGAACACGGAGAAAGGACGTCCAGTGGTTAATAAGTTTGCGGCACTGCGCAGTGCGCATGTCGGCACTGGGTTTCGCCACGACGCTGCGTTGTGGTCAGCTGAGTGATGCGCACTTGAAGTGCTTGGGTTGCGGGATATTTTTGGCATTCTTGGAGAGAGCTGCGATTTGGTAAACATGGGTACGATGCTAATAGTGCATCTTTGGTACGGTCCAAGTGACATTTCACATGTCATCTCACGTGATTGAATTGTGGCCTCCCTGATTTGCGAACATATGTGCTAGCATGCTACGTACGATGATGACTTATTTTGAGTGCATGCCGTGTACCGATGCTGGTCTTCTCTTATCTAACGTGGAATCCATTGTTGTTCAGCAAGAGAGAAATAGTAGACGGTTGTGAAAGTGTGTCGAAACGCCATCTGCATGCATTGATCAGCTGGCGCCACTTCTCGGCTGCACGGCACGTGTTTATCCATGACTCATATATTGACCGCTTATTGCTCAACACTGTGGAATGCCACGCCGGCTTCACGTAGCGAGACCACCGTGTTGTGATCGACTTATTTTGCTGTAATTTAGCTTCCATCTGCATGTAGTTAGCCTAAAGTGAAGACCTATTCGACTTATCAACATTTGACCATTTAAATAAGAAATAAATATTTTTTATATCGGCTGTTCAGGAAAGCATTATGAAGATTGGCTGCGCTCGTATTCGCAGATACTTTAGCTACTAATATCACCGGTCCGCGATAACTGTTTGATTGTGAGGCTGTTAAATGTAGAGGCATATGCTATATTTTTGATTATTTTTTCCCTCTCTGGATAGAAACAAGACGGAATGTGTGGACCAAGTAGGGTGATATCCCGGATAGTTTTCTTTAGCTGAGTCCGTCGGGTTGATTGAATGGCCAGTGTTATTTGTTTGTTCGTTGAACTACCCACCTTCATGTGGATATTCATATACATATATCTAGCTCTATACCGAGCCAATTGCATCTGTAGCGTCTTCCATTATGACAATGAGAAAGGGTAGTTACTACCAGGCAGCTAACCACTCGGAAATGGACAGTAGAACAAAATGTTATGTCGATCTCTAAGTCTCTGTGTCTGATGGGTGTCGTTAGGCCACATTTTCCAGCCTCAGTATAGCTGTTCCGGGACCTTGTTTTATCCGGCATCTGGTATACACTCAGTCGATCAGTGCTGGACCTGCGAGGGAGAGATTGCCTCCATTCACTTCCCACCAGTCCCGGACCTCTGGCATTGCCGACGTTCGGGTAGTATCCATTATCCAGCCCTCTGGCATTGGTGGTTACCTGGTGTTGTCGGCTCTCTGGGTTTTGTCGGGCTTCTGGTAGTGGCATCCTTGGCCATGCTCCGGTACAGCGGAGACTGGTCGATCTTGGTTGACTGGTGACGGCCGGTGGCTGGCCGATGACTGTCGGTTATGTCGGTTATATGTCGAGTCGCTCATCGCCCGTTGATGGTCAGTGATGGCACGTGGTGTATCTCGGGTCGCCCGTTGCCCGTTGTAGGTCGGTGTCTAGATGGTGGTTGTCTGGGGCTGCTCGTCACCCGGTGTCGTTTGGTGGTGGTGTCTGGGCCGTCTCGTCGTCCGGTGACGGCCGGTGTCGGCGGCCGGTGACGGGCCGGTGGGGCCCCGTTGGCAGGCTCGCCCGCCCGTCGGCAGCTGGTCCGTTGGCAGGGCCCGGCGCCGGGCCCGAGTTGGCCGGCGGACAGCGGCCGAGGATGTCAGTGGCGGCGGACAGACCGGGCGACCGGGCCGGGCCGCCGGTCACGGCTCCGGCTCACGGCGGGCGGCGTGACGGGACGTGACGCTGGTTAGTGGGTGCCGTGACGGGCCGGGTGTGACACGGCGGTGGTGACGTCCGGTGTCCCGACAGCAGTCGCCGACAGTGATGTATGCGGGCTGGGGGTCGGCGGCGCGACCGGCCAGATAGGGACGGGACTGTCCCGCTGCAGTGTTCTGGATAGGTCTGATGTATTTGGAAAGTCATTCGCTGCAACCGACTTAGTCTTATCGCCTTATGTTTATGGGGAGTTGGTATTCTGTGTCATGTCATTTACGTTTAATTCGGCAGTGTCCTAAACATGAATAAATAAACATGTCCTAAACATGAATAAATACACGTCGTATGAAATACATGATTGACACTAGGACCAGGCATTGTATTTCTTCTCGTGTTTCGTTTTCACTATAATACATTTACCACAAAACAACTTTGAAAAATTTTCGGAAATAAATTCATTTATTCCTCACTTTGACTTTCACGTTTTACTTTTGACCGAAGCTTTGTGCTCAAAAGTTAAAAGCACTATTGGTTTGAATCGTGTTTTTTCTATTGAAAACCCTACCTGGTTTCCGGGACGACTTAACATAATCGTAGTTGTGTTATAGTTAACACGCCCTCGAAATAGTGAAAACCTTTTTAATTATTCATTGATATTGTCGGCTTTTAATAATCACCTGCCCAGCGAAGTACAGCTCATGGAGTCATACTGACATGAAGTATTGGCTCGTCATTTTGATTGATCTCTAGCATCGCCTGGGCATGGTCAATATTTAGGAAAAGTGCCGCGAGTGTCTTCGCTATTTATGTCTGCCGTCTGATTCCTTAGCTGTAGTTCAATTTATGGTCAGCTCCCGACTATTCTTACTGGTTTGCTGGCTGGTTTGTGGGAAACTGATCATATCTTCAACTGCGAAACATTTGTTCCTCGGAAACCAGTCTCACACCATGGTCGGGTGTCTCTTTTTTAATTGGGTGATATATTTAGATCTAGCGTGCTAGTGATGGCATCGAATGATGGTGGTACATTATGCACTCCTGTTTCTTTAGCCGGGGGAATTCTCGGGCTGCTATTTGTTTATGTCTGACGAGTGGGAGGTCATTCGTCTTATCGAGACGTTAAAAATGCTATGGCCGTAAAATAAAGAGTTGGAAGGAGATGGTTTGCCATTTCGATCGTAGAGGATTAAACGCATTATGCTGTTTCTGCGACTGCACAAACTGTTAGTTATGGACCTCTGCTTACCTTGAACACCGTCAAAAAATGCATGGTACTATATGCTGACCCTGTGTGTGGACTTACGTGTGCCACCGCATAAATGTTGTTTATCCCCAATGTTTTATCGACGGGGTGTGTCCATTTTGTGACCTTGTATCCTCAAGCGTAACGCAATTCCTGTCTCCCAGCTGAGTCCATGAGCGATCGTATCTCTTCCTGTCTTCTCAGGTGTATGACCGCGTCTCGCCATCTCTCTGCATAGTATGTGATCTTGTGACCCCCTGTCTCCCAGCTTTGTCTGATGTGTGTGTTGTTACCGTGTCTCTCATCTCTTCCCGGATCGGAAAGCACGTCTTTCGTCTCCTCCAGGTATCTTACCGTATCTCCCTCCTCTGGCGTCTAACCGCATCCTCCCTCTCCTCAGGTGTGTACCGTGTAGCCGCGTCTTTTCTTAATGTGCTTGACCTCAACCGTCCTCGTCTCCCCACATGACGTCCACATGCGGGCGTCTCCTCCAGCTATCTGACCGCACCCCTCTCCGCAGGTGTGTCCCGTGTGCGCCTCTGTACCGAGCGGAGAGCCGAACCACGTCACCGAGGACCTGCCCACCCACCTGACTGTGGACCACCACCGCGGCGGCGGCAGCGGCGGCCTCTCGGCTCGCGATCTCATCTCGTTCGGGGACGAGCCGGCGCCGGCCGGCCGCCAGTCGGCGCGCCGTGTGCCGCACCCGGCTCAGGCGGGCGGCGCACCGCGCATCCGCCGGTTCAACACGGCTCACTTCAGGTGGGAGTGAGTGGAGGAACTGGGCGCCTGGGCGGGAACGGTGCTGATATGTGTCATATCGAACACTTCTCTCTTTAGCCTGGAACCTAGCTTTCTAGTGTGCGAAGTGCGACTCAACACCTCTCATTGGAATACATGGCATATTTTCCGATCTAAACCTGCAGCTCAATGCGCTACGAGTTGGGAGCGGAAAATATATCATGCATTCCAATGGGAGGTGCTGAGACGCGATTTGCACGATTGTCAGTTATGTTCCAGGGCTTAGATCAAGCGCTTTTGCTGATATTTTTTGTTCCAGTGCCCAAGGAAGCTCTGCGATACCTTTTTTTCGCTACACGAAAAAATATGTAGGTTATGGATATACGGTGCTCATGGACTTCATTTGTCAAAGCATCATCAACTCAGTGTTGTGGTTTAGAGGCTTACTGTAATTGTGGTACGCTCCACCGTCGTTCCAATTTACTGTTCATTCTATTTTATGCTGTGATGGTCTGTCTGTGTCCGTCTGTATGCCCATGTCTGTGCGTGTATCCGCGCCGCGCTCACCACACCACCGCTGTGTTCGCAGGGAGTCGATGGACCCGATCACGGAGCTCCTGTCTCAGCTGTCTGGCGTGCGTCGCGCCGCCACACTGGTCTCTGGCGGCCCCAGTGTGGGCGCCATCGGCACGGGCACCGCCTCCCGGCTGCAGCAGCTGCAGGTCAGTAGATCGGACGGGGCTGCAGTGGGGCAAGACAGGGAGATGGCTCATTAGACGGCTGGAGGCAAATTGAGCGTGCTTGACGAATGCAGCCTGCTTTGGTGTTGTCTATTTTTGTTTAGCGTGGGATACTTTGATTTGGCATGATTGAAGGGCTGTTGTTGATCTGTTTTGTATCGTTTTGGACCTAACACTTGCATATCGCGCTATTTTCATTTAGTGGTCAATAATTTAACTGTTTCAGTACCATTGCCTCTGCTCAGACTAGCTCACTTTCTGTCGTGTACGGCACCCTGTCTGGCTTACCCCGACGTCTCTGACCGGTCTCCCCCGCGGCAGGCGCAGGCGGTGCGTCAGCGCGGCGACCGCCCCGCGCGCCGTCAGCCGGCGACGGCGGGCGGCTCGGCCGACGGCAGCACGACGGCCGCGCCCGCCACCGAGGCCGCCGCCGCCGCTGCGCCGCGCCGTCAGGAGGCTGGAGCCGCCGCCTCCGGAGCCGGAGGGGCCACCGCCGCCGACGGACCCCAGTTTCTGCTGGCTAGGTGGGTGCCGCGCGATCGTACAGGGCTTGTGTTTGAGTACAGTTTTACCGCCAAAGTACCTCTTGTTGCAGTGAAAAGTATCTTGTAAGCTTATTACGGCTGATACCAGTCGGCGTTATATGATTTGTTCTGCCTTATCTCGCTATGCAGACGGTGATTCGCGCGGCTGCTGCCGTTTGGTGCCGGTCTTCACGGCCGGTGGACGATGCTGACCGGTGGCGGGTCTCTGTTGACAGTATTCTGGACGAGGATGACTCGGAGCTGGCCGGCCGTCAAATGAACAGAGCCGATCGTAGCGCCTTTGTACAGGTGAGGGGACCGTAAAGAGGTACTGGGCCTGATCATATAGACTCGGGCGTGTGGTGCTTGTATTTCAGTTTGTAGCTCCTTGTGTCTGAGGAACTCACCCTACGACACATCAAAAGTAAATTTCTTGAAACCACTCCTAGACCACAGCCCTCCCCGACAGCTCGACTCAGCAACAGACTGCACACATGAGGTGCTTTTTAAAAGTACCCTGCACGTGTCCGATCCCGTCGGCACGTGCCATGTGCACGTGCCTTCGTAGCACGCCAACCAAGCCGTCTTAGTTAGGGCAATTCACAAATGAAACGGTCATCGTTTTGATTTCCTGCTCCAGAAAGGTCATAGCTTTCGGAAGTCGATCGCTCTTTGATAGGTTTACGGACCACTGTTCCCCAACGTTTTGATCATTGATGGAATAATTCGGTTTTAAAAAGTCATCTTGATAAAAGGGAAGTAAACCTGTCGACTATAAGAGATAGCTACTGTTTTTCGTGTTTCTGAGCAAATATTTGATGATTGTTCTTTTTAGAAATGGTTGCTCGGCGGTCGGTAATGCTTAGAGTAGCAGCTGTACTTGTTCGACTTTTTTTAATAAGTTAACGACAACGCTTTGTCTGGACCAAATATTCACTCGGTTTTTGTTTTGCTCCCAGCTTTTTTTATTCCAAGTTTGATGTCAATAGGAACATGGCTTTTTACTGCACGAGTTGAGCTTAGCTATACCTAGTCAGAAAGTTGTGCTCTTCTCAGTTTACTTCAGTTGAGTTCCAAAATGTTGTGATGCCGATATTAACAAAGATGCGTACGATTGTGATTTGACACGACCGACGCTGTCCGCTGTTTCAGGAGGTGATTCTGTCCACTCTTATTGACTCCATTGACTCTACGTCGATATGTGAATCGAGCGGCCGTCCGGCGGCGGCTGTCGGCGCGGCCTCCCCCGCTCCCAGCTCGGTAGTCACCAGCCAGCCGGCCGGTCAGAAGGGGCGGGACGCCCGACCCGCGGCCGCCGCCGCCGCCGCAGGCCCGCCGGCTCGCGTGACGCCGCCGTCCGCCGGCCCTCCGGCCGGAGCGGCGGCGGCGGCGGGCCGGCCGGCGGCCGTGTCGTCGCGTCTGCCGGCGGCGCGGCCGGGCCGCGGTGCGCCGCAGCTGCGCGCCTCCGGCCTGGTGCACCACCCGGTCGGCGTGGTGGCCGGGGTGCGCGGTCAGAGAAAGCCGCCGCGGCCGGCCGCCGCCGCCGCTGCTGTGGACGGCAGGCCGGCCGAGCCGTCCGCCCATTAGCCTGGCGTCGGGTACCGCTCAGGGTGCGCGCCGTCTCTGTCCGCCGCCGCCGTCTCTGCGGAGCCGGCCGGCCGCCTGGACCGGCCGCAGAGAAGTCAGCGCGGCACGGAGGCGGGCGGAGCGGGCCGGTCCGGCCGCACAGCGCGGCCCAGCCGGCCCGGTGTGCTGTGCTCTGCCGAGGGCCGCGGTGCGCGCGGTGTACCGGCGTCCGGAGCCGGGCGCCAGCTCAGTCGCTCGGCTGCGCTGTAGTGCCTGTGAGTGCGTGTGCGTGCGGCGAATCGCGAGCGACGCGCAGTATCCTGACGCACAACCAGCCGTATGAGCTGCCGCCAGCTGCGGGGGCGGCGAGGGCGACCCTGCCGGCCTCTGGGCACCGCGTGCGGCGCCCTCTGTGCTAGTCTGACCGACCGGCCGACTGGACCGCCGAGGGACTGGCGCGAGACGACTAACCTGGCTTCTTTCTGACGACACCCTCTAAGGAGTCGACCGATCCCAGGTGAGGGAGGGGCGCGGCCCTCGCCGGGACTGGGTGTGGAGCGAGTTTCGCCGCGCGTGAGAGTTGCTGTCGTGAGCCCCGCCTTCTGAAGACGACTGATAGCGGGAGCCGGCGCGGCGCCGTCCGTCCCGGCCGGCGCCGGCTCTCGACCTCCTGTGATTGCTGTTTCTGGCGTGTGCGCGAGTCTGTGTGTGTCTGTGCGCGTGTGTTCGCCGTGTGAACGTGCGCGTGTGTCCGGCGCTGAGCGTAACTAGGCGTGTTGGGAGGGGTCAACTCGGGATGTGATACAGTTATCAGTCGCGCGGGCGTCCTTCCCCGCTTAATGATGCTTCGATGATACACACACTAAATCACCTATAAATCTGTATATTACTGTGCTCTCCGAGGAATGCTATAAATAAAAGTTGTTGCTGTACCAGCGATTGCGTGAAACGATTAACATCGATTATAACGCGAGCGCCGGCGGGTCGCCGACAGCGTATTGACACAGGTGCCGGTAGCTTCTGACCTCCCTCCCTCCCTCCCTCATCCCACCCACAGCCCTCCCGCACGGACACATGACTAGATACAAAGCTCGCGCCCTCCGACGGCGCCCAGGCAGAGGCTACACGCCTCGGCCCGTGTAACTATACAGCGCACAACACCAGTACCGAACATCTCGAACGACAACACAGTCAGGGTACAAAACAGTCATCACTCGGCACCGCGGCGGTAAACAACATCCATCACTCAACACGCGCTCCTCAGCACCACGCACTCATCACGTCCCGGCCGTTAGCGTCTTTCCGCTCGCCCGGCGGCGTGCACACACACCCGTCCACCTCAGAGTCAGTGCGGCCCTCTGCCGGCCGCCGTCACCGGTCTCTACACCACGTCCAGGTGCCGGAAGTGCCGGTAGTCGTACGGCGCCGGCGGCGGCGGCGGAGCGTTCGTCGAGCGCGACGACAGGCTGCCGTCGTCTGTGACGGGTAGCGGCGTCGGCGGCATGAGCACAGTCCGCACCGAGCGCTCGCCATCCTTGTCATAGCGCTGTGTCACGTAGTGCTGCCGCGCGCCGCCTGGCGGCAGGCTCGACGCATAGTGCTTCTGTTTGGCGTCGCTAGGTGGCGGTAGCGCCTTACGGCGGCGCTGCAGACAGCAGACGGCTCCCAGCAGGAAGCCCACGAGGGCGACCACAGGCAGCGCGATCAGCAGCGCCTGCATGGAGTCGGTGGGAGCTGCGAACAGGAAAACGGGGAGTTAGGTACAGAACGAACCGTGAACACTATACCGGAATACGGCAACCGTGACAGGAACGAATGACACAACATCGAATGCAGCAGAAACACTTATCATCGAACCATTAGCGTCACAAGGCGGGGAACAAATGACCTAAAATTGCCGTGATCGATCCGGACTTAGGCGCCAGGGTGGCCATACAAATGGTCCGTGCAATATATGACCCTGATAGGCCCGACAGGGCACGGGCCCCCGGTCCGAAGATTTAGCCGTGCCACTTCGTCCGCCCCGGCCTTTGTTGGGGCGTGATCACCAACCGTAAATCAGTCCAGCGGCCTAAACGCACCCAACAGCCGCATTAAGTTGCCGATACCGTCAAACTTGGTCACAAGTTCGCCTCCACCTAGCGGTTGATCGCTCCTTAGCCCGCGCCCGACCCGGGGCCCACGAGGCAAATTCTTCCGACGCCCTCGGTTACAGATTTCCGACAATTTTTGTGGGCCAAACTTTGAGCGCGCCGCCCGGCTTTCGCCCATGGTAGCCGGAACGAACGGCGCCGATAACTCAGGGAAACACGAACATAGCATGGGCTCGCCACTTATAAAATGCGACCGGCGCCTGCAACTCGTGTGAACTGGGGTGCTGAAACACGCCCGGCCACACAAAAATGCTTATCAGCGGGATCCGTGCCGGCCGCCGGAGCCGCACGGACGCACCCATCTGTTACACGGCACCGTTGGGCAATGGCTCACATAGGATCTACATTCGCTCGGTGAAGGAGCTCCTGGTCACCGGTCCTCTCAAGCATCAAATGGCATCCATCCTATCTCTAACTCCTGGTGACTAAACACACCAATCGATATTGAATATTTGTTAAGTACCTATTGCACAGACAATTCGTACAGTTCGGCTCATACAGCCCACGAGTGTAAGACTTTAACGGTATGCAGGTATGTATATGACATGTGAAAAGGTAGATCTTGTCCTTGTGGCCTAGCTACCCGTTCTTCTCACCCTCTCAGCACTGTTGCTCACCTGGCGCCACGTGCAGGAACGCCTCTCGGCCGCTGAAGCCGTTCTCATTAGCCGCCATGCAGACGTAGACTCCCTCGTGACTGGGCCGGACGGCCGGCAGGGTCAGCTTGGTGAGGTAGCGGTCGCCGTCTTGGACCGTGTGGGCGCCCCCGGAGAGCACTGCGTATCGGCCGTCTCCAATCATCACCGTCTGGTTGAACCCGTCCGTGGCGGAGGGCCCCAGTTTGCGCACCCACTGCAGCGGAGGAGGGGCCGTCAGTTAGGGGAGGGAGTCCGGACAGTCGATAGGGTAGGGCGGAGGTACAAATATGGTGTCGAGTGGGTGGCCTAACGCCTGAGTTATGCATGAGCTGTCATTTATACTGCAGCGGCGTGAAAGGACAATGGACTTACGTCAGAGTCTTGGCTAAGTAGCTGCAGGTGCCAGCAATCACACCTTCCGGTCAGTTATTCAACTTTCAGTTTTCAGCTGACATATGATAAAAATACAGCGACTGCTTTCAAGCTTCAATGTACTGTAATTCTTCCCAGAATAAATACAGCTACAACTTCTCAGAATAGTTAGACATCTAAAGCGCTATGTTTTCAAGTTTCAAGTTTTAGTGTCCTGTATGCATTCCAGAATACCAGTACAAACACAGCGGCAATAACTGAGTCTCACTGAATCGACCCACCCATCCGCGAAAGGTCCAATAAACTCTTGTTTCCACCACCCAACATCCTGCTGGTATCCCGTCCGATCCCCGGCAGTCAGTCAGCCGACCAGCGCAATCCACTAACCCGCCCAGTGTGATCTGCCCGGGGGCGAGACGCGGGCCTCTGCCCCGGGGCTGTAATTTCCGCTCCTCTCCGCCTCGGGGAGGGCTAACAGAAGAGCGATCCGACCCGATCGGGGCCTCTGTCCACAGCCCGACCGCCCGCGGATGTGGGCAGGATAACCGGGATGTCGCTGCCGCACTCATGGCTCAGAGAGGACGATCTGACGTCGGGCCGACGATGCGGGCGGTCTCACCTTGATGTGCGCTTTGGAGATGCTCTGTATGCGGCATTGAAGGACGGCCATCTCTCCCTCGTACACTGTGGTGTTGGCTGGAGCCGCCAGAAATACCGGGTCCGGTGACAGCGGCTCTGCAAAGAGCGACAGCGCGTCAGAGATGAAATCGGGCGATGTAACGGACTGTAGCGGTGCTCGGCCGGCCCGAGATACCGGCTCGGCCATCTGCCCCGCCGGCGGCGTCCGCTGGGATCTTGTATAATGCAATCGCGATCGGTGTAGGTACACAGGAACGTACATGTGAGGCGCTTGTACTACATCGTCTGAATTTCAAACGAGCTGGCCGGCAGTGTTGAATGTCGCCCGGTTTTATGTAGACAGAGATTTGGGTTGGTTCCGACGACCGATGACGGGATAACGACGATATGGGTACGGCGAACTGGCAGAATTCCTGCGACATAAGTCGTTCGTCTTTGTTTTGCGAGTCAGGAATCCAGTCAACTTGGTCCATTCAGTTCGGTTCATTATTCAGTGTGTAAATACCAACTGCTAAACTACCGTCTCCAATCATTCATTCAGCGGCTGTACTACCTTACCCAATCAACCCAACTCCACTCATCCGGCACCCAGCACCCAGCACCCAGCGCCCGGCACCCAGCACCCAGCACCCAGCACCCGGCAACCGCACCCAGCACCCGTCGGTCGGCACACTGCATCCCCCGCCAGCATAATAATGCACGAACGACCGCTTACAGCCATTCACCATGAGAAGGCAATCATTTACACAGAGACCCTCGACAAACACACATACGCACACAAGCGGCAGCGGCAGCCGTCATCGATCCACGTGCCATTGTAAAAGTTGCCGAAGGCGGTGGCGGCCGGCAGACTCATTACGACTGCGGCACTGTCGTAATCACGCAATCAATGTGACACTGTCGCCGACAAAGCCGGCGGCTTAGCGGGCACCGCTCAGCACGCGGCACGCCTTCGACGGCACCGTCGTTGGCGGCAGTCCATCGTGTGCCGACTGCCGTTGCGATGGTCGCATGGAGACGGCACAATGGGTCGTTACGTGTGCCATGTGTGGTATGCGCTGCGGGCGGAGCGGCAACTTGTGGTGGCGGGTGCGGCGGTGGTGGCCGGTGGGTAGGCCGACGCGGCACGCGCTCACAGGCCGCGGTCGGGGGTCGGAGGCTCACCTGTGGTCTGCAGCGTGAAACTGTGGTTGGCCGAGCCGAACACGTTGGAGGCCACGCAGATGTACACGCCGTCATCGGAGGGCACGAGCTGGGTGAACACCAGGGTGGGCCCGTGGATCTGCACCCGCACCGACTTCAGCACCGCGTGGCCGCTCTGAGAGGGGAGGGCGGCCGTCAGATATCAGCAGCACGAGCCGCTGTCCGGGCTGCCTCCGGAACATCCGTGGCCGGGGCAACACCGCCCACGGCGCCCGGCAGCAGCAACATTAGTCAGACCATGTTTTATGTTGCAAGTTGCCGGTTTACGAGCGATTCAACTTTCAGCGTTATGCTCACGATAAATAGAAGTCTAAGCGCCTTGAGGATGATAAATGCCTCGCTGGGTTATAAACGTTTGCGGTAAACCATTTAAAGCAGACGAATATATCATAGCATTCCTCGGCAAAATACATGACCGTAATCATAGATGCCATATTTTAGGCTCCTAATAATGCAAGCGTTCCGGGCAAGAGTAACAAATGCACGAACAATTGGATGACGGAAATACTGCAGCAAGAAGTAGAACATAAAGCAGGATCTCAAAACGCGCGACGCAAATCACTAAAAGGTTAAAGTTGGGATCAATAAGTCAACAAAATAAAAACCAAAAACAGGCACACCGAAACTTCTGCAGCTCTCCAGCATTAAACCCTGCCGTTTCCTGGCAGACCCCATGGCTCACCTTATACCACTTGACCTGCGGCTCGGGGTAGCCGGATGTGGTGCAGGTCAGGCGGTGTCGGGAGCCGACTGGTCCGCGCACCACGGCGCCGCTCGGCCGCTGCAGCAGGATCACCGGCGGACGGCCCAGCGAGGTGACCAGGTTGTCTGCCATGACACGCTCGCCGCCGCCCGCGCCGCGCCCGTTGTACTGCGTGGACGACTTCGGGTCTGTGGAGGGGAGAAGAGAGGTCAGAGGGCGCAGTAGGGAC